TGGGAGGTGGTGCCGCAGCATCGCCTGGTGGTGGTTGTGGCGTTAGCCTGACCATGGCCGTGTGCAGCGTATGAGTCTGCTGCTGAAGCGCAGCTATCTGGGCGACACTCGTATCGTTTGCTTGCCGGAGTGTCTCAAATTGGTGCAAGAACTCTTCTCGCATCTTTTGCATCAGTTCTATCTGTTGATTCATTGCTGAATCTCCGTTTGACATTCCAGACACGACTAAAAGATTTAATTTGAAGAACAAGTGGGAGTATATTTGTATACGCTTCCCACAGACGGTGCCAAAGTGTAGGTGCAAAATTTCGCTCAACCAATAATGACTGAGAAAAATAAAACAACTCACTCAAAAACAATAAAAATAAATAAGAACAATGTATAGAGAAGTGTGGAATTGCTTGATCCTTTATTGGAGGTCTTAGCCTCTATTTATATACAAAAGATTGCAAAATTATGGTAGGACTCGCGTTGCTTGCCCTCCAATTCTTTCTATATAAGCATTCTTTTCTAATAGAGTTCTTTCCATTGTTGAATCTTCCATACATTGAAATTGCCTTGTACAGAACTTCCTATCCAAATTTTCCTTCTACAGTAAATCCTTCAAATGGTAGGATTTGCGCATTCTTGGGCTGAATATATTTTGATCCGGCTGGGCTTGGGTAACAGGCCGGATGTTAAATACTCATACGCTGGGCTGATGACTTCTTGATTCGGCCCTGATGGAAGTTGGAGGATAACTAACAATGGTCTTGGGCTGTAAATACCCTCAATTTGGGTTTGAGCATGATGGGCCTTATATGCCCTTGGAATGTAGATATGGGTAGTGGTGACATGTGCGCTTCTTATTGGAGGGAGTTTTTTTCCCTCCACAACTACCCTTTATTAAATTTTCAAATATTTTTCTATACTTTAACAGTTTTACCCAAATCCATGGGATGCAATCAATGTGCTTCTTCTCCTCCTACATAAGATTTCGATGCCAGACTAGTTTTGATTTTCTTTCTTGACTAAATTATAATTTTCTCCCTCTTTTTTATTTTTTTATTTAAGATCTCTATCCTTCCTTTCTGTCACATCTTTGATTGGTAAGTCTTTATTAATTGATTGACAACAATAATTCCATGTATTAGCTTGATCGCCACTTTAAATGTCTAACGTGCATAACAGCATAGGATTCAAATCCCTAATGTGTCAATAGTGATTAGTCGGCACTGGGCATGCGCATGAGAATTGGTATGTCCGTATGTGATACCAATATTCACACATATATATACACACACACTTAAATGGAAATGAATGAGATCAATTTTTGACCTCATAGGTGAATTATATGACTCCACTGTCTTTTACATATCAAATTAAATATTTCTCTCTACATCCTGACATCAACACTAAATCCTATTTTTGGTCAAAACTCTAAACGTAACAAGTCAATGCCCACACCCCATGCTTGCTATTCATTCAATGATTTTCCTGTATCGTAATTTGTTAAATTTGCAGAAGATTGTTATAGTGGTTGGGAGTTTTTTTATTTTTTATTTATTATGTTTTGTGGATTTTTTTAAATTTTTTAATTTTGATCATAATATTAAGGTTGGGTTAAATCATTGTCACTTAAATTTTTATTGTGTAGTTACTAGTTAGCACTTGCTTTCCAATCTTTCCTAATGCATTCTAAATGAAAAGATTGAGTAGTTTAAATAAAATTAATAAGATTGAAATGTCCATTTTAATTATTATATGTAAATAAGCGTTTTTATTTTTATTTTTATTTTTATTTTAAACAGTTATGGAGAAATATTATAAAAGAAAATTAGGGTTGGCATCTTAGCCACCTCCTATAGAGAGAGATGATGATCGAATATTGAAGCAAAGTTGTTCTAACATCAACTTGGAAAATCTTCCAGCGGATCCAGGATTATGAACTCGAATCTTGGATTACCATCCTAATATTCGAGATGACATTCGTAGATTATATTATCTTAAGGGTCCTTGTCAACCCAAGACTCATCGTTTTCCCTATACGAGTTTTGGGAAAGCATCACGCCGTTTTAACCCTGCTTGGTTTAGTGAATATTCTAATTAGCTAGAATATAGTATAACCAAAGATGCAGTGTTTTGCTTATGTTGTTATCTTTTTAAGCCGAATATTAGAGAACAAGCAGGAGGTGAATCTTTTGTGGGTGAGGGGTTTTCAAATTAGAAGAAGAAAGAAAAATTTCAAACTCATGTTGGAGGTCCCAGTAGTGCCTACAACCAAGCTTGGAGATCATGTGAAGCTTTGGTGAACCAAAAACAACACATTCAAACAATTTTATGCAAGCAGTCGCACCAATCTAGAAATGAATATCGGACTCGTATGACTACATCAATTGAATGAATCTGATATCTTTTACACCAAGGACTTGCCTTTCATGGCCACGATAAATCTGAAGATTCAAACAATCAAGGGAACTTCCTCACACTTTTGAGATTTCATGCTCGTCACAATAAGGATGTTAGAGCCGTTGTATTGGAAAATGCTCCTGAAAATCTAAAGTTAACATCACCTGAGATTCAAAAAGAGTTTGTAAATGCCATTGCAACAGAGGTTGTCAATTTAATTATTAGAGATATTGGAGATGGGATTTTTTCTATTTTAATTAATGAGTCTTGTGATGTATCGATAAAGGAGCAAACGGCTATTGTGTTACGTTACATGAAGGATGGAAGTGCCACTGAACGTTTTATTAGTATGGTACATGTTACCGATACAACTGCTCTCACTCAAGATGGTGATTGATAATGTATTTTCTACACATGGATTGAGCATTTCTAGATTGCGTGGGCAAGGTTATGATGGGGTTAGCAATATGCAAGGTGAGTTCAACGGTCTCAAAACGCTTATTCTGAAAGAGAATGAATTTGCTTTTTATGTTCATTGTTTTGCTCACCAACTTCAGTTGGCTCTTGTTGCTGGGGCAAAGAATCATGGCCAGATTTTCACTTTTTTCGTATTTGTTGCTAATATGGTGAATGTAATTGGAGTTTCATGTAAACGTCGTGATATGCTTCGTGAGAAACAAATTGCTGAAGTTATTGATGGACTTAACAAAGGCGAGCTCACAAGTGGGCAAGGCTTAAATTAGAGTACTTTTCTTGTACGTGCAGGAGACACTCGTTGGGGCTCACATTATGGTACTTTAATTAGCTTGATTACATTGTTCTCAACTGTAATTGTTGTTTTTGAGTTTATCGAAAAGGATGGATTGAAATATGATCAAAGAGGTGAAACATCTATTCCACTTGGTTTAATACAATCCTTTAATTTTGTATTCAATCTCTATTTGATGAAGACATTGTTGGGCATGACAAATGAATTATCCAAAGTACTACAAAGAAAAGATCAAGATATCGTGAATGCCATGTACCTTGTCAAAGTATGTAAGCAATGACTACAAATGATGAGGGATGATGGATGGGATTCTTTGCTTGATGATGTTTCTTCTTTTTGTGAGAGACATGAGAGTGATGTTCCCAACATGGATGATATGTTCATTACTCAAGGACGACAACGACGAAATGTGCAAGAAATGACAAACTTGCATTACTAATGTGTTGAGTTGTTTTATTCTATCATAGATATGCAACTTTAAGAGCTAAATAATCGTTTCAATGAGGCCAATACTGAGTTACTTCTTTGTGTGGCATGTCTTTGTCCAGATGATGCATTCTTTGCTTTTGACAAACAAAAGACCACTCACTTTGCTGAATACTATCCAAAAGAATTTTCTGCAGCTAAGCTCATAGAACTTGGTAGTCAACTTGAAACTTATATTCTTGATGTGTGCTTTAATATCAGGTTTAAAGGATTGAAAGGGATTTCCGCTCTTGCAAAAAAAAAAAAAAAAATGGTTGAAACAAAAAAAGACAAGGTGTATCCATTGGTGTATTTACTTGTGACATTGGCATTAATTTTACCAGGCGCGATTGCCACGGTGGAGAGGGCATTTTCTACTATAAATATTGTAAAGAATGAATTGCATAATCGGATGGGAGATCAATTTATGAATGATAGCTTGGTTGTGTATATTGAAAAATAAATATTTAGTGGCATAGATAATGAGGTTATCATTTAACGCTTTCAAAAGATGAAAAGTCGTCGAGGGCAGTTGTAATTGTATTCAATGAAATATTATCAACTAATATTTTGGATCTTATATGTGTCAAGTATTATACTTTAGTTCTTTTTAATTATTTAACTATCATATCAACTTGTTACATGTTTAGTTCTTTAGATAAACAAATAAATTCTTTTATGGGTATTTTCAATTCACATTATCGAAGAACATTTAGTTTCCATCTTAGTTTAAGATAAAAATAATAAAATACAATTTTGTTTGCTTTGGTTGTCAAGATTCACTATGCGCTTGAAGACTCAGAGAGTGGGTATAATTGCTTTGGAATGGCTCCTGGACTCTTAGTTCATCCAGTATCTCACCTTGCCAGGTAATTCCTTTTTTGTCTTTTGAAAATAGTGACTTTGCTCTGTTTTTTTTAGATACTAAATTAGATACTAATTTTATATTTCCCTTTGAAAATAGTGTGACTTTGCTCTGTTTTCTATTTTTTTTTGGGGTCTTGTATGTCTTTTGATGTGAAAATTCGTTGATTTTTTTTTTTCCTCTTATCAAATGCACTATGCCCCCCTCCGAGAATGAAATCCTGGCTCGGCCCTGATTTTTATTGTAACGCCCCATATCCAAAGGACCTGGTGCATGAATGAATGAAAGAGAACCTGACCTAAACCCGAGTCCCAGATATAAAAGTCAAGCGTGAAATGACACATTAACTAAATAATACGAACTTTTATTTATCATAAACTTCTCTCTACTTCTACTTTTAAGAGGTGATAATATCACTAGCAAAAAACGGCAAAACATTTCATGTTCAAATGAAGGAACAATGACATGCAACTATAATTTAGAAAAAATAAATGGATAAAATGAATTCGAAAATTTGACAAACACAAGTACTTATTTTATAAGATGAAGTAACAAAACAAATGGAATGGAATACGTTCCATAGCATGACATTTTACCAATTTAAAAATAGCAATGATTTCTGACAGAAAAAATTTAATGTGCGATGATTATGGTTCATATGATATCACCTACTAATTTATACACTTAACACACAATAATATAATTGATAACACCAATGTAGCAGTCCCCCTGTAAGAAAATATTTTCATTTAACAACAAAATTCTAAATAAATATTATATATAATTACTTTTCCGGTTGTGGTGATTGTGGCCATAAACTAACCCTTTCTTTCAGAAACTTGAGATATATAGCAGAAACAGCCGCCACGAAATACACCTGAATAATCACTATCGACGGCGAGTGATAGTTTATCACGCTCTTACCCGTTGCCAGCTCCACCAACAGCAATGCCGATAGTCCCAGCATCGCGATCCGTCCGTTGACCCGCTCCGAATACGGGCTGAATCCGAACTCTACCTTCAGCCCTCCGGAGACCGGCTCCTTCAGTGGCACCGGCGGAAGGTATAATCCGGCGCCGGAGGAGGATGATCCTTTCTTAGACTTCCGGGCCTTACGGACCTCCGCCTTCTTTCCGGTGCCGCTCCGGTAACGTAACCGGACCTGGGAGAGCCGGTTCTCGAAGCTGTCCGGGTCGGACGGTGTTGTCGGGTCGGAGGGCTCGGTGGCGTCGGACTCTTCTTCTGTGGTGGCTCGGATAGTGGCGGAGCGGCGGTGGCGATTGGGGAGATAGAGGGGCGCGTAGGGTTTCTGTGGAGATGAGAACAATGGATTTGTGAGGTGCAAAGTTGAGGACGGTACGGTCGCCATCTCTCTCTCAAGATTGTTTGTGGATGGCAGGTTTGGATAAAGAACAGAACACACACACTATCTGTATTTTTTTGTGGCCTTCAAAATTTTCTGTATTGATTTATTTGTTTCAATTATTTATATGCTAGGCCCAACATCGACATCAGACATGATTTGGGTCAATTCAATATATATTTATATGCTAGGCCCAACATCGACATCAGACATGATTTGAGTCTTGACTTTACTCAAGACTACAAGTGGGCTTGAGCTAAACCTCATCCTTTTCAATTTCATGACCTTGTCCAATTCAAGTTCTATATATTATATCTATGGACCTTGTCCGATTCAAAAGTTCTTCTAGTAACATATATTATATCTATGGATTTTTTTTTTTTTTTTTCATGTTAGAGTAGAAATTAAAGATGTGAATACTTGAAGTCGGGCTCATAAGAATAATGGGGAGGGGCCATTGACTTGGCTACGAAGGCATTTGCATATCTATGGACTTCATAAGTCAAGAATTAATACAAGGCGTATGATTTGGGCCATGGCGTCATGAGATTTTTTATTTGCTGGTTTTTTTTTTTTCTTTTTTTGAATGATGAATTAAAGAATCTAAACAAATAATTTCTCTTTTATAGTGTTGACAAGTTATTATCATGTATTCCGTTTTAGTTCTACTTATTTTTAGACCTTACATCTCCAATGACTGTAATGCGCGCTTTTTTCCGAAAAAAAAAATAATTTTGTTGCTAAAGTTTTATTTGAATTTTTGAATGAAATGTACCATGGGATGTCTCTTTATATCATTAGTCTCCCCACTGAAGACGTAATTGTACCAATTAATTTACTGAAATTACAACAAATTCCCCATTCAACCAGATGGTAATCCTCTCTAGGAAATGGAAATCAGTTTATCCATTTAGAGATTTCGATGAAATTAATTGCTAATCCAACAAATAGTGGACTCGATCTAATATATTTCTCTGAGATATTTGGATCTACTGCAATTTCTTATATTTTGTGAACCTTAGAAGTCAAATTGGATGGCGAAGTTACTATGGGAGGGGATTCAATTAGAAGTACTGAATCAATACTTTAAATTTGAAATTTGAGAAAAATTTAGTTCAAAATTGTTTGCATGAAAAAATAACACCTAATTCATACTTTACTCTTTTAGACTAATAAAATTTTTCAATTAATTATTTTTTAAAAAATTTAAATCTAAGTCACCAATTTGGTGCTTCAAACACAACACAATTATTATCAGAGAGACAGGTAGATATAGTTTGAATCACAAATGGTTCATCTGTGTATTGAGTGACTTGTACTTTTGGAAGGGATGCTTGATATCAATGATGACACTTTTAATCTATTATCTTCCTAGAATTAGGGATTCAATTAGAAGTACTGCATCAATACTTTAAATTTGAAATTTGAGAAAAATTTAGTTCAAAATTGTTTGCATGAAAAAATAACACCTAATTCATACTTTACTCTTTTAGACTAATAAAATTTTTTAATTAATTATTTTTAAAAAAATTTAAATCTAAGTCACCAATTTGGTGCTTCAAACACAACACAATTATTATCAGAGACAGGTAGATATAGTTTGAATCACAAATGGTTCATCTGTGTATTGAGTGACTTGTACTTTTGGAAGGGATGCTTGATATCAATGATGACACTTTTAATCTATTATCTTCCTAGAATTAGGGATTCAATTAGAAGTACTGAATCAATACTTTAAATTTGAAATTTGAGAAAAATTTAGTTCAAAATTGTTTGCATGAAAAAATAACACCTAATTCATACTTTACTCTTTTAGACTAATAAAAATTTTTAATTAATTATTTTTTAAAAAATTTAAATCTAAGTCACCAATTTGGTGCTTCAAACACAACACAATTATTATCAGAGACAGGTAGATATAGTTTGAATCACAAATGGTTTATCTGTGTATTGAGTGACTTGTACTTTTGGAAGGGATGCTTGTTATGTATGCAGAATTCGAATTAGTAATTCTAGGAAGATAATAGATTAAAAGTGTCATCATTGATATCACACCTAAATCTTATTTCAATTAATTCTTGTTCTCTTTAAAAATAGTAAAAAAATTAAAGTAATTGTGGTGTAACGTATTTACTATTTTATTCCTCAGAGACTGGCTTGCTTGGTCTTTATCACACCTATGGGTATGGGTATGGGTATGGGTATGGGTATGGCGTGGGAGCTAGGGGGGTTTGCATGAATGTGTGCGATTGTGTGTGAGATAGTGTGTGAGTTTGTTAGGGAATGACAGATAAAAGGTATATTAGTAATGTAGTGTGAGGGAATGCATGTGAGATGTGGCCAGTATGGTATGTAAATGTCTGACAAACAAAATATGATAGATGAGGTATCATTTACATGCGAAAGAATCGTTCTTGGTATTGGTGGTAAAGATGACAATAAAATTTGCAGAGCAGTGGAAACTTCGTTTTTAGAATTTTTGAATCATTGTCAAATTCAAGCATTTATAATCACTCTCTTGTGATGAGACAGGTGAATTCCGTTACATTTTAAAAAATTGTCTTTACACTCGAAAATTGACCGTTATACATGTGAATTCAAAACTTATGGCGAAGGGAAATTTTTCACTAATAAAAGCACCGTATAAAATGTGACCAATTATAACCTGACACTTAAGCAAGAGGAATCAATCTCCCATCGATCCAACCAACTGAATAATGACGTAGAATTCCATACAATGACCCGTTAACCAAATTGATTCCCCAAATGAGGGATGAGCCTCAATCTCTAAAAATTGAGTAGATATTGGGTGCGTTGGGCATATGAGTTCATTGGTATGCACGTTAGTTAGTTGAGAGTAATTTTCAAAAATATGTGGGACCAATGTATTTTCATTAGCATTGCATGCTAACTCCTAAAAATTAAAGATTGTCAAGCGTGAGAAATCAGTAACTAATTCTTCTATAAAAACTGTGAAAGAGAAAAGAAAAGACGCTAGACAAAAACAGTAAAAAAAGAACTGCTACATCAATTCTTGTACTAAGCGCAGTGACGACTCAGAGGTTTGTATGAGAGGGGAGGCTTTGAACCACAATGTATGTTGGAGTATTATTAAAAATTAAGTAGAGACATATTTAAAAATTTTACAAAAAAAATAAAGACATTTTAAAGATTTGCACAAAAACTATAGCTAATTTTATGAATAAATAAAATTTCAGTGTGACCCCTTCATGGGTGCACCAGGCCAAGTCTTATTAATAACAAAAAATTTGATACAATTATTGAGTATTTTGGTGTGAACTTATTTACTTACAAATTTTTGCACCTAAACTCATCGTGAACTCGACGTGTGTTCGTGGAACTATGTGTGACACTAAAATTAATTATTAGCATATGTCTTAACTAAATTTTTTTTTACCTTGAGTAACGAGAAGAAGTTGTACACACTTATTGTGATTGGCTTTACTTCTTGTAGGAACATCCTTTATTAATTGTTTTGTCATTGGAGTGTTGAATTTAGGTACAACCGTCACATTACTGATTACACGGTTCACACCCCATATTAATTCATTAGTTGTTCACCAATTCATTCCCCTTTTTGCCGAAAGTTGGGTAAACTGTGAACCCAACTCACCAAGTGAGACTCTTTATTATTTTATATCCTTAAATTGAGGTGCACATTTTCTACAGTATGGGTGGTCTTAATAGTGGTAACATCGTACAGGTTTGAACTATTGGGACCCTTTATATACACACATTGGGAGGACCATGTGTGGTACCATGTTTCCTTGACCATATAGGGCTTGTATTTGACATCGATAGATATATATTTATATGAAACTAAAGCAAAGCATGTGCATGCATGGCAAACAAAGTCAAAAGTCAAAAGAAAACAAATCGATCACTGTAATAGTACCCCTGCATGGTCACTTTACTTGTATGATTATATCCTATATGCAACACGCATTTTTCAAATGTGAATAATGAAACCGCATCCCGGCTCCCCAGTCCACTGCCGTGCTATGCATTAAAACGGTATTAATTTAATGCACAATACGATTTTTAATTTAGGGTGCACGAAACTCTAACATGAAGATAACATTGAACGTCCGTGTCTATGCGCGCACCAAAACTGCAATGTGCATTGGCTAGTCGCGTGCCGCAAGTCCCCTCAAGGGGATACTGTTTATATTTATAATTAATCATTATAGAATAATAATATGGAGTCCGACAATCAAATAATTCCGACTATATTTATGTGAATGGGAGGTGATTTCAACCTCACCATTGATGTTATTGTGACGTTAGTCTCCACTTGTATCAAACAGGTATCAGTCAACATATCATTTTCAGTAAGAGTACACTAAGTAAGAATATTGTTGATAAAAGAGAGACAATACAGAGGTGGCGTGCATTTTGCAGATGAGCCACACACACACACACACACACACATATATATATATAGCTAGCAATTAAGGTTGGTTACTTCATGAAGGAATTAAGGTGATGCTTAGCCAAGGGTATGTGTCTGAAAACTACATAAAGCAGGAGCTGATGAGATTAAACTCTTTACGTGTGAAGGATATATACAGATAAATAATGAGGAGATTCAATAATGACGTGTGAATAAGCTAGCAAATATGGATTGATATATACATGTTCAAGAATGCACTTGAAAAATATACGAAAATGTTCACTTGCTTTTTAATGTGTAGAAAAATGTGCGCACACTTCAAGTATTGATCTTCAAACCTGATCAAGTAATTAAAAAGTAGTTTATTTTTCTATATCCAATGGTGAGATTTTAATTCATAGATATATTCTTCCCACACTGTCGGTCCTCCTATATATGTAGGAATGTTCACTGCTTTTCTGATGTGCAGGAAAATGTATATACACCACAACTATTAAGAATCTCATTGGATAGTTAAGAAAGTAATTTATGTTTTTATATCAAACTATGAAGATTTAATTCGTGGATAAATACTGTCACATCAATGAACAATGAACCCGCCATCTATATATATATATATATATATATATATATATATATATTTATTTATTTATTTATGTGGTTCCAAGTAATATTTTTAAGTACCATAGGTCCATAATCCTTGACTTGGCTTCTTAAGCTAACTTGCGAACAATTCTTAGAAATTTGTTAATAATTCTAGGTTTGGCTTGAACCACACATTGTTGGATTTGAGTGAGTTGAGCATGAACAATTAATCAGAGACACAGGCTCGTCCAGTTACAACCCCACATCGAAAAATCTTCTTGTATACAAACACGAAATCCCTATATAATTGTATCTCCTTATTAGTGTGATTGATAAGACTCTTATATTTAAGCTGAACGTTCATTCTCACCTAAATTGGCCATGCTTGTTCACAAGTTAGGGTTTCGTATGAAAATGACAGTAAGAAGAAGCCAAATACGACTGATTATTGCAGCACACAGACAACATAACAGACACAATTAGTAAATTCCATATAGTATATACATGTTCATATATAGCGTGAATTAGTGACATTTAGATATTTTGGAGACAAGGATCAGTGATATATAGTTCTTACAAATGCATTAAGTACTATTTACTCATTGATCATTTGTGTGTGTCTGTGCGTGAGCACCAAATCTGAAATCCCAAGTTTTATAAAAATAAGTTACTAAAGTAGAGAATTATAATTTCAAATTCTAAATTTGTCATGAAATAACATAAAAAAATATTAGAGAGAATTGATTGATTGTGATTGCTTCAGTGATGGATTTAATTAGATTCTGCTGAGTGGCTGATCTGTTTCAAATATTCTGCTTTTTCTTTCAAGCCAGATAGCATGGATGCAGCGCTGCTAAGCACCGGCAATGTTAATAAGAAATTATTAGATGACCCCGGATCATGTGATCCCGATCAATCAAATTTATTATTTATTTAACTTATAGATTTCTTGATTTTTATTTATTTATTATTATTTCGCTGCTTTTGTAAATAATTTCAAATCCAGATTTTAAATGTTTTATGCTTCCACAGTGTCGGTAAAAGAAGCTAGATACATGAAAATAGAGTGCCAATTATTCAACTCACTTTGTCTAGTAACACTTATTCATTTTTTAAATTGAAAGGGCCTTTAAGGGTTCAAATCCCAGTATGAACAAAAAGTGAAAATCTCAGTTTGGTGTTATGAAAAAATAATAATAATAATAAAAATTTTAAAAAAATAAAAATAAAAATAAAATAAAGAGAGGAGAGGAGAGGAGAGCAAAATGAGACACTATCCTTTGATAACCATTTATTTGAGTTTGTCAAGCAGAAGAAAGATTAAAGAAACGTACGATAAAAAGTAAACCTATTTGCATCATACTTTTGTGATCATCAGAATTTTGCATCACACCCTTTCATCCAATTTTTTTTTTTTTCTTTTTTTCTCCGCAAAAAACCCCAACACATTCTTTTGCCTTTATCACACAGATTGACAAAAAAAAAAAAAAAGAAAAAAAAAAAAAAAAAAAAAACAAACAAACACACCCTTTTTTTCCTTAGCAAGTGAGACCTCGATTCTCATCCTCAACGTTAAAAATTAGAAATATCACTTCTAAGTTAATAAATTAGAAATATCACTAAATTACAGTCTTGAATTATTATAATCTAAATTAAAAGTTAGGGACCCTTTTTACCATCAAGTGTTACCAATTTGAAAGTTTAGTCAATTATTTTTTAAAAATAATTGTAAATTTTATCCTCTAAATCAAATCAAAATCATACTCATATCTAGGATTCTTTTCAACAGTGCCTTAAATACTCTTCTACCCACCAAACTACCTTTTAATATATCTATTGTTAATTTATTACACATAATTAAAAAGCAAAATTTTGTATAACCTCATACATTTGTACCTTTTTTACCCACTGCTATTTCCCAACCAACTCAATGCTGCTTAGCCAGATATTGATTGGTGGGTGAAAAAATAGTTGACCTAAATGAACAATAATCATATTATTGGAATACATGTATATCATCATATATATGGAACAGTTTTACACCTAAATCCAACTTGGTAAAACTTAACAACAGTAACATTCCCATTAAATTCAAAAAATAAGAAAGAAAAACAAAAACAAAAACAAAAACAAAAACATACCCCTTCCCGCCAAATACAAACTCCACCCCCACCCATCAGTACACTTACCTCCTCTTGTTCTTGCTTCCCAGCAACAAAGAGAAGTAAAACAGGATCCTAAAGAAGAAACCCCAAGCCACAGTGATCCACAAGCAGTTCCACTTGCTCAAATCCGTGATCCCCTGCTGCTGCAAGATGTCAGAGCCGGTGGTCACGCACGTCGTGCTCGTGATGTTCATGCCCAAAGAACTGCTTATACTCTTCAACAGGTCCACTTTCATGGCATCTGGGACTAGCCCGAGCGGCGTGTTGTCGAAGATCTGGATACCCCTCACGAAGCACTTGATTGGGTCATCGAATTCATTTTGTAAAACAGCTTCGTATGGATACTTGACTAGAGAAATGTAGTGGAACCAAATCCAGTAAGCTGGAATTCGATCCCTGTTGATGAAGAATCCGCTGAAGAGAAGGAAATAAGCTAAAATGGCGACGACAATGGTGTAACCGAGCATGACATGAGGAACCACACCGGAGAGAAACGTGACGAATGAGCTTCCGGCCCAGAACGAAGCCAGGATGATGAAGAAGTAGAAGAAGAAACCGGATAGTCCACCGGCGAGTCCCACTGCCCAAAAGGTCGTGGCGGCGAAAGACAATGAGAGGAATACCAACGCGGGAACAGCCACCAATGAGTGAGAGAGAACATAGGACCATCTCCGATACGCATTGTAAGCAGTTTCTCTCATGAAAATGTACCGTTCTTGAAGAAAAACAGGTAATGCGTCTGCACAGGTGTAGAAAGTGGTGGACATTGCGAATGCAAAAAACCCTAATCTCTCTTGCACCCCTTTTGGGGAATTATCAAGTTGCCAGAACATTGTGGCTAAGATGAAGCCCGTGACAAGGACTGCACCTAATCGGATGCCAAAAAGCTCCGGCATTCTTCGAGAATTGGTGATTGATCGCTTTGATAGCACTGCCATTTCGACCCAGAACGGGTTTGCATATGTCGGCACCATTGATGCCGGACTGGCGTCGCTGGTGGCACCGGAGACTAACTTTCCTCTGGAAATGCTTGCGCTGATGGCTTCTTTTAGTGACAGACCTTGCCGGTCCGCCTCCGGAGTTCGGGGCTCACGAGACCGCTTCATGCTCTGCCATGACCTGTTGAATTCAACCAAGCTCTTTGTTCCACCGGCCGATCCTTCGAGCTCGCGGATCAAATCGAGCGCGAACTCTGTCCGGTTCTCGTTCTCCGGTATTGGATGGCCGAAATCGGAGAAGAAGACCGGTAAATTGATCGGAGAGCCACTGTAAACAGTTTGTCCACGCGATAAGAATATCAGTCGATCAAGCAATCCGAGAATTCGATAGCTCGGCTGGTGTACAGACATTATGACTATGCTTCCGCTCTGAGCGATTCGCTGTAAGACCTTCACCACCATGAAAGCGCTGGTCGAGTCGAGCCCCGAGGTGGGCTCGTCGAGGAACAAGATGATCGGATCATGAATTATGTCGGTTCCGATTGAGACACGGCGTCGTTCGCCGCCGGAGACTCCTCGGTGGCCTTCGTCGCCGATGATTGTTTTGGCGGCGTTTCGGAGCCCTAATTGATCGATCAGAGCTTGAACTCTCATCTTCTTCTTTGATTTTGAGAGAGTTCGAGGGAGTCTGAACTCGGCGGCGAACATGAGAGTCTCTTCCACCGTCAACATCGGAAATAGGAGATCATCTTGCATTACGTAAGCCGATATGACTTTCAGAAGCCGAGACTCGAGCGCTTCGCCGTTCAATGTCACCGTCCCTTTCAGGCTTCCTTTCGCAATCCGATTGGCCAACGCGTCAATCAGCGTCGACTTTCCCGATCCACTTGCGCCGAGCACGGCCATGACTTCGCCGTCCCGCGCTTCGCCGGAGATATCGTTGAGCAGGACCTTCGTCTTCGTGAAAAGATTTTCCCCGGCCACCGGCTCCGACGCGGTGGCGGGAGCTCCGAGGCGCTTCCCGCGGTTGAATACCGCCGGGAACGTCATTTTCCGGCGGATCTTGATGCTGTATGTCAAGTTGCTGAAGGAGAGAACGAACGGCAGAGATCGAGGCTCAAGACTCCTCTCACTCACATCAAGAATCTGGTGAACTGGCGTCTCGTCTCCGGTTTCCTCCTTCCGTACGTCGCCGACGTACTTGAACAGCTGTCCGAGCGTCGGCGAAGGCCCGGCGGCGACACTTGAGAGCTCCATCGACTGTCTCCGATTGAAAAACGGTCTGGTATCTCTCGCCGGCGATATATTCTCCGCCACAACACGAGACATTCGTGTTTGTTTGTTTCTCCGTATATATATATAACCCACTGACCGAGTTCTAGAGAGAGAAAGTTCGCTTTTAAGAGAGAGATAATGACTGTATACGTGTTTGTTCAGTACTGGCTTACAAGCGTTACGCTGATTCTTTGGGAAGTCGCTACAGTGCGCCGGACGTGTATAAACGCACCGAAGACGCCGTCAGGTCTAACGCCGTTAGAACCGCTTCAACTTTATAGTGTGGGTTTTTTGAGAAGCCCAATCGTTGCTTTAGGTGTATTCTCCATTTGTTTCTATATATATATATATATCTAGAAAATAGTTGTGTGTGTGTATGATGATGATATTGAACACTGTGTGTTAGGGTTTAAAGGTTGGTTGTGTTTCTCTCTCTATATATATGCATGGAGTGAGGTGAGAGAGAGGTGACCTACATCTCCTAATTTCTGATCTACACGTCTTGTTTTACTTGGAGGAGAGGCATGAGGACACGTGGGCGGTTAGGATTTGAGGGTATGGTGACATATGGAGCTAAGGATGGACTGTTCATAGTATGTTCATTTGGGGGGTTTCATGGAATTAGGTATGGATGGTAATCTACTGTTTGCGTAAGATATATTATGTATGGTTAATTTGGTCCAAGTAAAAAGAGTACCATTGAGGTCAAATGAAAATATATTTCAGAAAAATCCAACCCTAATGGGGAAGGGGTTATGTCCCTAAATGGTTAGGGTGGGGCCTTATTATGTGGGCAAGGTCAAGTGGTTCTGCAAAACCTGGGGTTGTAGTTTTGATTTTTTTTTTTTTTTTTTTGAAAGTTATTGTAGATTTGAAATTTGCATAACAAAATTAATTTGCAAAAAGTAGAAAAATTATTGTGTACTTTGGGAGTGCCAATTAGTATGATGCAGCCGTCCAATAAATACTCACCAATTCTTCTTATTTATATAAGTAATAATCACTTATCATTACTATTGGATGGGACTAGATACTATATTATCGGTGCTTGTAGCGTTCAAAAATTTCTTGAAAATCTTTAAGAGAGATTTCATTTCAAGTTTAAGTTTTCGTCATAAGTTAATTGTTATAAACTGTTCTTAATTATTCTTAAATTGCCTTTAGGAGTGCTTTGAATATAAAATTGAAGCAAATTTAATTAAAAGTTTTAACTAATTTCTTTCTAATTTAATATAAATATAAACGGTCTATTTTTATGTTTCCAAACATAACATTATTATTATTTTCTTGAAATAAACAAACGAAATAAATAAATTATTATTTTATTTCCTTCCTTCCTTCCACTTCATTTTTATTCATTCGGCAAAGAGGCATTTAAATTTTCTTGTGAAAAGGAAATCCGTTATTCACTAAAAGATATAAAATATTAAACTTCACTCACCTTTAAAGTTTTAAATTTGAGAATTAATAGATGGTTATTAAATTAGTAACGTTGTTGATAAATATTTATAAAGAATTCTTAAGAGGATATGAATAATAAAGTACACTATAACAGCTTAAACTTTCATTATTTATTTATTTATTTATTTTTGTTGGCACACTAATATGGTAAACTTTTTAGATTAAGATTAATTAAATTTAAACCTAAGGGACTCCCACTTAATGGGGAAGAGTCGTTGAACGTAGGTTTATAACAATGACACAATTGGAGAAGTTGATGTTAAGTAAATCATCTTGACTTGGAAATTGCATTCAAATTTTAAATACACAAAATGGGAAGATATATATATTGAGAAGATTCAACCGATTAATATATATATGTGCAAACCATATGGTTAAACCTATTTTATAAAACCAATCTACAATACCATTCATCTACTAAATCAGACTTCTCCTGTGGGGGTTGTGGTTATTTTTTTTACTTGGCAATATTGAATTAGGTACTACCTAGTAAAGGTGTGGGGGTTGTGGTTATTTTTTTTACTTGGCAATATTGAATTAGGTACTACCTAGTAAAGGTGTGGGGGTTGTGGTTATTTTTTTTACTTGGCAATATTGAATTAGGTACTACCTAGTAAAGGTGGCAATTCATGTTCGCGGATCGTAATCGTGTCATGTCAACTTAAGGATATTATACTAAACAGCTCAATCCGAACACAATTCGTTTAATAATCATGTCAGGAACTCTCAACACTAACACGACTTGTTTATTAAACCGGTTATACATGTAACCCGTTTAATGACCTATTACAAAAGATATATATATTATTTAAATTATTAATAATATTTAATAAAATATTAAATATTAAAAAAAATATAAGTTTTAATCAATCAAATTACTAAATAGTTTATAGTTTACAAAAGATTAAATTATAAGATACAAGTTTATATAATAATTTTAGAACTTAAATAGAAATTTATTTACGATCTATATAGTTAAACATGTATAAATGGGTTAAACTTCTCAATTCAAACACGACACGATTAACTAAACGGGTTAATCGTGTTAACTCGCTTATAACTCGAACTCGTTTAAGGTCAACCCAAATCCATTTAACTCGTGTCGTGTTCGAGTCATATTGGCGGGTCGAGTCAACTTTTGTCACCGCTACTACCTAGCTAACTACCTAAGTTATAATATAGGTTAATCAGAAACAGTGACGAACCCATGAATTTTTTTGTGAGGGGGCATCGTCGAAGAATAAAAAATAAAAAATAAATGTATACAAATTTGAAAAAAAAAATTTGTGAAGTGGGCCATTTTAAAAATTGAGTGGGGGCATTTTTGAAATTCTAACTAAAACTTTAGGTAATAATATAAATTAGAAAAAATCCAATGGAGAAATTAGTTTGGTAAAAAAGTGAAGGGGGCCATTTTTGAAATTTTAATTAAAATTATAGGTAATAATATTAATTAGAAAGAATCCATTGGGGAATCCGCCCCCATTATTCTTGAACTGGGTCTGTGTCTAATCAGAGAGCAAAAAACAAATCCTGAACTTTCTTTTGAGAGAGCCAGCAAAAGTATTGACGGAGCCAGAAAATTATTTGAGTGGGGCAGCCTTGAACAATAATAAGATAAAGAAATTTTTAATTATACCATGATAAAAAATAAAATAAAAATAAAAAGAGAACTGTAACTTCAATTACGTTCTTTACAATAGAAAGAGAAGGGGAGGTAGAGAGAGAGAGTTGGTAGGCTATTATCTCTAGGAAGTATAGTTGCAAAGCGTGTGAAAATGAGAGAGTAAGGGTCATGAGTGTGAAGACTAAAACTTCAATGGGGCGGGTTTATAAATGGGAGGTTTTAGTAATTTTTTTTGTGAGGGTATCATTAAGATTTTAATACAATTATATTTAAGTATAAAGTGTAAATAAAAAAATTTCGGTACACTCCGCAAATGGTGGCTCTATCATTGATACCACTAGACCATAACAATCAAAATTAAATAGATATTGTCCGCTTTATATATAATTCTCGTTTATGATTTTTAAAACGTGTCTATAAGAACTATCTACGCATATGAGTACCAACAACCTTTACCTAGACATTGTAGTAAAACTAAAAGTATATTCATTTTTTTTTTATTAAAAAATCAGAACCCAAAGCTAAAATTTTAAGGATCCTTTAGTGGCATGTTCAATTAAGAGCTTAATATTTGATGATCAGCCCATTGAAAAACTAATTTCATAAAATCAGCTTATTCCTTGACTAGTAATTAAGAGTATTGTTTGGCTAAAATAAATCTATTCCTTTGGAACTGCAGGCGGACCAAGAACTTCGAAAGTTCCTAAGTGAGAATTATCCAAATTATATCCGAAAGGAAGATTGAATAGATAGTGATTGTGAGGAGACTTGAAATGACCACCTCCAATTTTGTTTTTTGCTTTTATTACGGGACTTGGATTTTTTTAATGATTGGAAAGGAAAGCAACGAAAGTGCAGGTCTGAATTGAAAGTATTGGTTGAAAGCAAGACCTGCAGTGAAAGAATACATTTGAAAAGAAAATTGCATTAATTTAAAATAGTGGCATTTCAGGAAAGTATAGGGTAATGAAAACAATTGCTGAAATTGAAAGATTTTTGAAGTGCTGTTTGAGTTGTGCGTTGAACAGAGTATGCAAGTTGTATCAAGGGGTTTGTAGCCTGTACTGGAACTGCCAGCGGAATCTTCCACAGTCTAAATTTTAGCCGGTTCTCTAGGAAGATCTTGTACTTTTTGGTAATTTTATTTTGGATTAATTTTACTAACATTTCTTCATATTTAACCAAATATTACCCTCAAATATCCTCAAATATCTTTCGAAATTAATTATTACTCAGATCCCAATTTCCTTTTCCGTTACTTTTTCTGTTAAAAATGTATAAAATGACAATTTTATCCCTATTTTTTAAAATCTATTTTAATCCAAAATATCAAAAGCTTTAAATAACCAAATTGCTCTCATTTATTACTCAGTCACCCCCCAAAACCCTTTTATCTCACTCTTTTCTCCATAAATATATATTTTTTGGTGTATATATATATATATATATATATAAAGAATAATTTTAAATTTATATAATAAAAGTCAAAAGATATTCAAGTCATTTTAACCATTTTTTTTAAGTCAACACATAATTAGAAGGGTTGCAATGTCATTTTACATGCAAAAAGGTATCTAGCAGACTTAAAAAGTAACTTTTAGGGTGTAAGTGAAAAACCGACCAAAAGTTTGTAATGTAAGTGACAGTTATTTTCGAAAGATGATTCAATTTGATATTTGGTCAAATTCGGGATGTCAATGAAATTAATGCTTTTATTTCTTATTTATTTTTAATCTTAATAAATTAGGGGGAGAAAATTCGAGCATGGTACACCCGCTTCACGCTATGCCAACTACCCATTGGGTAATTTTGTTTAGTTCCTAGCTTGTTTGGAGTAACTCGCCTTAGCGGATTCCTTGAATCTCTCCCCATTTCCTTCTCTAACAAGCTTTTTTCCTATGAGATGGTGACAAGCCAATAAATTTGCTGTTGCAAGTTCCATTGAAACTTACCACGTGTCATTTTTTAATTGGAAGGCGGCAACTGAAAATTAGGGTGTAAAGTATGATTTGAAATTAGAGAGGTATAAGTTATCTTTTGGCTTAAAAGGCCGATCAGAGGCGTGTTTCTATATTTTCCACCTTTGGTTTTTGTTTTTCTTATCTGTAATTAGACTTCACTTCTATTATATATAATTAATGTGACACACTAAAATGAAGTTGACAAACTATCATAAACATTTTTTTTTCTTCCAGAACAAAAAAATTCAAAGTTCTTAGCTGTTTAATGCTGCCAAGAAGAAGAGATCGAAAACACATGCATGCACACTTTTTAAGGGTACGTAGAATTTAGGTGGTAGTTAATGTTGATCGGCCAACCCTTACCGACTTGTGATCTAGTTCACCTATAAATGAAGCTGTGGATAGAAGGAATTCTCCAAGTCAAAACGTACAAAATGATGGGCATCAGCATGTGCATGTCAGCATGTGCAATCGGAAATGGGATATATATATATATATATATATATATATATATATATATATATATATATGCCTATTTTCTCAACTGTACGAAATTTAGTCAAATTCTTCTGCTTCTTCTTCTTAATTTCTGTCTCACTCTTCAATTTCCGAAGATGGAGGCTTTGTTGTTGGTTAACTGTCCTCATCCTACACTCTCTTGCTTTGGACTCTTTGTTTAAGTTGGGTAAAGATCTAGCTAGGCTGTGGATCTTCAATTAATTCATTGCCAAAACTTATCAAAACACTGCCACACAGTTTTTAATGAATTGAGTTCTGAGAGCTGAATATAGACTTACTGCAGGGATGTGCAATCTTGATTTGGTTGCCCAAATTTGAATCTGACTTTGTGTTTATTAGACGGTTCTGGACCACGTTGGTCCAGTCTAACGTTCGAGTTTTTTTTATAGTATTTTATTACACTTTTGTGGATCCATTTTTCTTAATCGGAGAGCTTGATTGGACTGAACCACCAAGTGTCGATTGTTTAGAACAATCTAATAATTTCTTGAGCAGAAGAACCAATTTGAAAAGGATGTGTCAGTTTTGGTTTATTCATAACCTGAACTTATAATAACTAATAAGAGACTACTGATGAATTATTAGATGGTGGGGACTAAAAAATTGAATAAAACTGAAACATTTAATTGTGTGACAGGCTTTATCTAGTTGCCTATTTGATATAGAGTATAACTCTTCAAACGGGTGCACCCGTGTTCTTATGATCGACCGGGACCATATAATAATTTCTCGATTCATTTATAAGGTAAAAAAACTCTTTTTAAGTTTTGATCTATTGAAAAAATTATTATGGTTGACAATTCATTTCTCCTGCTGCTTGAGAATTATGAGATGAAAAATTATACTGTTCCTGAAAATATTTTAATATCCATAGCATGAAATTTTAAGTTTAATTTTTCATTTGACCTCGATCGTTAAATTACATGGATCACTGAACTGAGAGAGAGCCTAATGAAATAGTTTCCACCATTTCTCACTTTACTTTAAGTATTTAACCAATGAGATAAATTGAATGGTTAATTTGAATTGAACTCTAAATCATTGAAGGTTTTGTACTATTCAAACCTTTCAATTTACTGAATCCATATGGTGAGGGTAATGCATTTTTTTTTAAAGAAGGCAAGAAGTGTTAAAAGTTATATTAATAGATGCAGAGAATCGAAGCCTGACACTCCAAAATTTATAAGAAACACTAAACCACTAGACCATCGAGGCATTTACAGCGAGGGTAATGTTAGATAACCCATTATAAGATCATAAAAATATTTTTCATTCATATGTTTGCTCTTCTAAAACTAACTTCCAATACATCATCTGGTTCTCACGAACATGAACTTAGCTTAAAGATGGATTAAATTTTGGATGACATTAGGTTCACCATGTTTAGTGGATATGTGTATTAATCAGAGTAGATTAAAAAAAGAAAAGAAAAAAAAAAAAAAGAGAGAGAGAGTATTTATCTAAGTGCTTGAGTGATCATGATTGTAGTTTGGCTTGGAACTTTTTTTTTTTTTTTTTTTAATATGGATTATTATGACTACAACAATAGGATTTTGAAGAGGTTTGGTTCCATTAGCTTTGAGATTAGGGGTTTAGGTTTGGTTTCACTAGCTTTGAGGTTAGGAGTTTTAGGTTTGGTTTCATAAGCTTTGAGGTTAGGAGTTTTACGTTAGGTTTCACTAGCTTTGAGGCTAGGAGTTTTTTGGTTATTTCGTGTAACATAATGTATAAGGGTTCTTTCGGCTTAAAGATATATTTTGGTCCAAAGAAATATCTTTTGTCTATAGGTTTGGGCTTTGGGCCGTCAAGAATTTTGGCGGCCCAAGCCCTTTAAACCTTCCCCTGTATATATTACTTTATACTCTCCAACACAGTCATCTTGAAATTCAGAAAAATGTGTGGAAGTTTGTTAGTGAAGTGTATTTTAGAGAGACTCTGGTCTATATAATGATAGGATATAAGTTCTTGAGACATAAGAGAAATCATAAAATGTAACCCGAAAGTTCAAGCAAATGCATACACTCACAATAGTGTCTCTAAAGGAGCTCGAACACTCAATCTCACACACCCACAATATTGTACCCAACGGAGCCTAAACACTCGACTTTGAGAAAGAGATGTCACACCATCTAGACTAATGCCCATTTGTAAATCCTATGTCTTAAGAAATCATAAAATGTAACCCGAAAGTTCTTGCAGCTTTGCACACCATCCTACAAGAACTCTACACTTATAATTCTTAGCAAGATTTAGAAGAGAAAAAAACTCATCTGAAGTAGATCAAACAAGGTCATATTCTGCTAGTGTAACTTCCAAACTAGTACAGAGATTTTAGGATGTATTTCCCTTGTGCAGCCAGAAAAAACCCTTGCTCATGTTAGGGGTTAGTGGGGAGGGGAGGGTGCAAGGCTCGAACATGGGCTCCCAGACATGGGGAGCAACCCAACCACTCGAGCAACATGGCACTTGTGCTTTAGTCATGCTATCAACACAGTTTAAATTTAGCTATTTCCACCATTTCCTAATAATTAAATATAATCTGCCCATATATTGCAAGTTGTAGCAATCTGTGAATCTATGCACCTAGAAAGGAAGGAATGTAAAGTGGAAATTACAGAAGATGATGAACTGATAGATAGACTATGACATCTGTGTATAGAATACATAATAGTAAAGTCTGTTGGTATGAGAAATATTGCATCATAAAAAGGAGTAAAACATAACCCATGCGCCAAAATTTCATGATCAGTCACAAACTCAAGCAAAACAATTGGAGAAAATCATATTAAAGGACTGATAAAACTTATTCTGAAATCCTAACCCTCTTGTTCAAAAGAATTCAGCCTGCTATATGCAGTTTCAGCAAACAAACAAATGAAGAAGTAACTCTGCAAAATGGATAGTATAAAGCATACCATTTCTCGCTCAGTCTACCTCATTTCGGCTTTTACCATTTGCGAGAAGACTCTATTCATTGAAACACCAGCAAGATCACCCATACTTCCCACACTGAATTGTGTAGTAGATACACTGGTCTCCAAGTGATTGTTTGAGAGCTCACCATTCAGAGGAGGTCTTCCATCATCTCCTTGAAGCTGAAGAGCACTTTCCAAACTCCATAATACGTCTCCCATTGTGGGTCGATCAGCACCACGTTCTGCTAGGCATTTCTCAACTGTCTCTCCGAACTTTCTCAAAGACTCTAGTTTTACTTTACCAACAAGATGAGGGTCTACAATTTTTTCTAACTCTCCTCTTTTCTGCCACTTCATTGCCCATTCCACTAAATTTACCATTTCCCTGGTAAGTGATGGATCAATAACAGGCCTTCCGCAAATGATTTCAAGCAAAACAACTCCAAAGGAGTACACATCTGATTTCTCAGTCAGCTGTTGCCTAATCAAATACTCGGGATCAAGATACCCAAAACTTCCTTTTACTGCAGTACTGACATGCGTCTCATCAATCTCAGGGCCGGTCTTTGAAAGCCCAAAATCAGCAACTTTAGCCATCAGATTCTCATCAAGTAAAATATTTGCTGACTTAACATCACGATGAATAATTGCCTTTGCAGAACCAGTGTGAAGATAATGAAGTCCTCTGGCTGAGCCAATGGAGATCTCTAGCCTTTGCCTCCAACTCAAGCTAGGAAGATTTGAGCCATAGAGATGGTTCTTGAGGGTCCCATTTTCCATGTATTCATAAACTATGATCATCTCATTTTGTTCATCACAGTACCCTACTAAAGATAACAAATGGCGGTGACGGAACTGAGATAACATTTCAATTTCAGTCCGGAACTCGGCAAGACCCTGTCGGGATTGAGAAACTCCCCTTTTCACTGCCACCTTTGTTTCATCCCTCAAAACCCCCTTGTAAACCTTCCCAAAACCACCAACACCAACTACATAACTTTCACTGAAATTATTAGTAGCCTCTTGAATTACCGCAAGAGAGAAGCGGTAACCAATTTTTGAGCTGGAAATCATGGAAGTTCCATTAGAATATTTACTTTCCGTGGTTTGAGCATTCCCTCCTCCATTCATGGCAAAATTGTCTTGCGTTGAATGACCTACATGTACCAGTCTTCTTCTTCTTCTACACAATAGGAAGACGATCAAAGTCAAAATTAAGGCAATGAACAACACCCCAATGGCCAATCCTAAAATCACCCAAACTTTCATCTTGGAGCTTGAAGTTGAGAGCTGGATATGAGGATCCACTGCATCAAGACTGTCCCTTGAATTGCTTATTTTCATGATCTCCAGCCCGTTAAGAATGCCATCTGGGAGAGAAGATTCCAACTCAGAAGGACCCACACTTATATTAATCAGCTGACTGGTGCTTAACCCTGTGACAACATCCTTATAATAGGGAACGCCAAAGATGTTTGATGTTAGATTACTAAGATCAAGATCACTAGCAACAAGCTGGGAGTTCATATAAACATTGAAGGGTTCCAGCTTTGTATCAGAAGAATTCACTATATCACAGAAGTGAAACCGAACCAGATACTCAAAACCAGGATCAACATCAAAAAACCAGGTCACATTGGCAATATTGTCTGCACGTTTATCCAAGTTCAATCTAGTGGCCGTGCCATAGACTTCTGGTGGAGCAATATTCTGAGTAGGCACTCCTGTGTAATTAACAGCTCCAACATTTGATACAAACGCGACAAGAATACTGGGAATTAGATGTGTCTCGTCTGAAACCCAATGTCGCCACAATGTATCATTTTGAGGGGATACTGTACTATTACCCATATTCACCCTTGCAACCGTCTCTAATGCTCGAGTCAAAAGATTCTGGTTTCCACCCGGAGGATCAATGATTTTACCACCACTAGGGATGAGCTCATCGGGGAGATTAAAAACTTCTAAAGCATTTAGGAAGGCAAAAGAATTGGCAGAAGCAACAAAAGTGAGCACTAGACTATTTGAAGTTATGTTCAATGAGTACTCCTTAACAACCGATCCATTCTCCGGTTGGAAATCTCTAAGGAGGGTGAAATTTTGGGCTGAAACAGAGAATTTGGCATTGCTCAAATTGTACTTTTCATCAGCAAAGGGGAAGAAATATAGACGAACCCAATGCCAACCATGTTTCTTGATTGAAAATGTATATTGGGAAGTTCCAGTAAGAATTCGAGCAGTTTGGAACAGAGACGAATCAAAGGTGGATAAGTTGGATTTCGAAATTGTATTGACAGAAACATCATGTAAAGTTGAAAGGATATTGGAGGTAAAGTTATCGGCCACAAAGACACGATCACCCACCCGTGTGTTTTTCGGTGATCCACAGTCTATCAGATAGTTATCTACAGGATCAAATTCTAAGGAAACACATATCGAACACAAGACGGACAATACCCAAATAAGCAATCCATATAACCCAATACCCATCATGACATATATTCAATACAAGAGAATGAAACTAAGATGTGATTGAAACAAAGAACAATTCAAGAGAATAGCTCAAAGCATTCATCATAAACCCAATAAATCAATAACCAATATCAACAACATACACAAGAATGCAAAAGGGTCACCTGTGAGATCACTTGATCATTAAAAGAGAGACACCCAAATTCTACTTCAGACGCCCAAATTGGAAGGAAAGAGAATTTTGTATCATGGAGAGTTCTTCAACACAATTATTGGTCTTGCAAGACCAGCATTTATGGTATTGACAAAGACAATACATGTTTTTTTTTTTTTTAGTTTGGTCGCTGTGTTTTATTTGACAAATTCAAAGACTTTGAGGGACAAAAAGGGTTGGAAAATAGTACAGTAATATTGTAGTCAAATGTTCATATATATATATATATATATATATATATATATTAACGGAAATGTTCATATATATGACAAGATAGATAATTGTGAGGATTGAGGAAGACAGCTGTAATGGAGGGCTCACCATTTGAATGACATAGTCATGTTCGTCATGGTAATAATAACTACGGACAAAGATTTACTCTCTCTCTCTCTCTGTACGTAACGTGCTTTTAGAGAGAGAAGGTTTGTTGCTGCTTCTCTAAGAATATGTGTGACATAAATTAATGAGAGAAATCTACTACTGTCGTTGTCTGATATGGACTCGGGACGCGTTTTCTATAACATGCGCGAATGGTGGGGAGGAGTTATTGTATGCAGGTATGATTGCTGTGGTTTATTTATAGCAGCCAATGGTAAAGGAACACGTGGATTGTCTGATTTATTATTATTTTTTTTTGGCTGAGCGGGGTGGCAATTCGTGTTGACGTGTCGTGTTCGTATCGATACGATTACGACAAGGACACGATTAGGGTTGACACGAATACGACATGATTATTAATCGTATTTAAGACCGTTGACACGAACACAACACGATTATTATACGTGTACACGACATGTATAACCTGTTTAATAAATGGGTTAAGACTTGACAAAATACGAAAAGACACGTTTAAGTTCTTTTTGACACGAATACGATACATTTATTCTACACGTTTTGCTAAATGAGTTATTTTTTACACGAACACGACACATTTATCTGACACGTTTAGTTAATCGGATTAATTGTGTCATAATCGTGTTTATAGGGTCAAACACGAACACGATACGTTTAGTTAGTGGATCAATTCGTGTCGACACGATTAGTTCAAACTCAAATCCGCTTGTCTCATGTCGTGTTAGCGTATCGTGTCAAATATTCCCACCTCCTAGCCTGGGCTAATTTTGGTTTGTGGTGTCCAATTTACCAAGGACAATGCTTAACTACTCACCGGTGAGTAGAGTGAAGTTATTCACCCCTATATGGTCCAATAACAAAATAACACATTATTTTTAATAATTAAATAATACATATCTTTCTATGTTTTCTCAGATCAATTATTGAATAAATCGTATATAGTATTTTTAAGTATGAATTATTTAATTATTAAAGATGATGTGTTATTTTATTATTTGATTATATAAGGATGAGTAGCTTTACCTTACCCATTAATAAGTAGTTAAAGATTATCCATTTACCAAGTATGCTAAAAAGCATGGTCACTAGACGGAGAAATATGACTGGAACGAGTATTCTGAAATTTAAATAGAGAGAGAGGTTCGTTGCTGCTTCTCTAAGAATACGTGTGACATAAATTAATGAGAGAAATCTACTACTGTCATTGTCTGATATGGACTCGGACGCGTTTTCTATAACATGCGCGAATGGTGGGAGGAGTTATTGTATGCAGGTATGATTGCTGTGGTTTATTTATAGCAGCCAATTGTAAAGGAACACGTGGATTGTCTTTTTTTTTTTTTTGGGGGATGGCGGGTGGGGTGGGTGAGCTGATTTTGGTTTGTGGTGTCCAATTTACCAATTACAATTACAATTTGATGCAAGGAAGCTAGAAAGCATGGTCACTAGCGGGAGAAATATGACTGAAACAAGTATTCTGAAATTTAAATATTTTTTTATTTTTATTTTTTGACACGGTTGAGATAGTATAGAGCCGGCAAGAACACATTTTGAATATTTGTAGGATGTGATTTTGTAATTATAATTATAAAAAAATTATAAATTATAAATTATTATAATTTATAATATATTATGAGTTAATTAAAAATAGAAATACAACCAAACCGTACATTAATGTAAAGCTACCACGTATACAAGTCAAAGATCTTCATTGTAGCATTAAGGGACTTTTATGGATTTAAGGAAGCTTCACTATGTAGTCATTTAGCCTAATACAGCCTTTTGTAGTAAGTAGATAGATAAATAAAAAGGCTTGAATATTTCATAGGTGACTTAGGTTTGTATATTATTTTTGCTTTGTGCTTTTGTTTTGATTCGGAATAGAAGTAATGTTTTTGTTTTAGAGTGTGTTTAATATCATTTTAAAGTTTTTTTGGTAACGTATATTTGTTGCAAGATTTTTGGAAGCAGAACCATTAAATCATATTTAATAAAAAGTGTTACAAGTTTAAAAAATTGAATGATTAGTTAAAAATGTTATTTTTTATTTTTATTTTTTTAGCAGTATTTTATTACAGTGTAGAAACAAACAAAAGTATCATTTTTATTATTTCGATTTTGCTCTCAATTTCGAAAGCCCTTTGATATTATTCAAATAGTAGTTAACATTACTAAACATACTTTGTATTTTTGTTTCGTTACAATATATTAGGAAAACTAAAAAATACAAAGCAAAAACATTAGTCAAACAGGTTCTGTATAAACTTCAAATTTTATAACCGATGACATTGTTGATGATTTGGTCCAACTGATATTTTCTCCTTCTAGGAAATTTTATAACCGATGACATGGTTGATGATTTGGTTCAACTAATATTTTCTCCTTCTAGAAAATTGAAAGTTCAAATAGAATAATGCTGTATTTCAAACACTTCATTATGGTATAACTTGACTATTTTTCAAGTGATATCTTTTCATCTTTTACCACGGTTGAAAGTTTATGTTCGAATATAGAATGATAATGTGTGTATACTAGGGGTGGTAAACAGACAGGTAGAATCGAGTTTGGGTATAATCAAATATGGGTTGTGATTTATATTCAATCCGTTTGGGCAGAATCAAAAATGGGTTGGGTCAAAATGGACCGGGTCAACCCATCATGACCCATCAACTCGTTTTAGGAAAAAAAAATGTTATTATTTTGGATAATCTCATTATTATAGTTTTTTATTTTATATGGATAAAAGTTTGTAAAAATATGTATCGAAAATTATAAATCCTCCAATTTATTTTCAAAATTCTTTAAATTTATATTATTTTATTTTATGACTAGACATGCATAAAAATAAGATATATATATATATATATATATATATATATATATATATATATATGAAATTATCTATTAAGCTTTTTATAGGATATATAATTAAATGAATAAATCGGGTATTCCTATATATATAATACACACTGAATATATTGTATATGTGTTGTGGATATAACATGGCACAAAAAAATTTAGAGAGAGAAAGAGGATGATGAGAGAGAATGTCAGAGAGAGAGTGGGGGAGAGAGAGATAGAGAGAGAAATTTGGGATCAAGAATTTTAGAGCGAGTAAAGAAGTGAATTTGAGTCAAATATATGATGTAAAACTATCTCTCTTACATAATTGGTGAAATATGAGTCAAAATGGGTGACTCATATTCAACTCATTTAACCCTTTATAAAAATAGGTTGAATAGAGTCACCCACTTTAAATCATATTTAAAAATAATTCATCAATATCTATTTTTAAAAGGGTGAATATGAACTAATTGATGGGTCATGACCATTTTGCCACCCTAGGTGTACACACACGAACACGTCATTGCGCTACCATGGCTTTGAATATTGAGCTATATCCATAATCTCATTTTACACGAGAAATATGCCATATTTTTTATTTTTTTTCGAAAGCAAAGCAAATATATTTTATTTATAGATACGGTATAAAAGAAGTACAAGGAGATGGCCCACAAGATCGAGCTGGCCATCGAAACTAGCCATGCATACAAACAAGGCCCAAGCCTTGGCCCAAACAAAAGATCCCAAAACAAACTACCATTCAAAAAACCATACATACAAACAAGGCCCATTTTACACGAGCAATGCCCTGTACAAGAAGCACATACCGGCCAGTGTTCATCTGCAAGAAGAATGGTTAATCGCGGATGAAAGAGGACAAGAGGTTCCATTCCTCCATCGGACACGACGCGCAGAAGACACCATCTCCGTCACAGAATGTAGCATTCATGGTGAATAAAACCATCTTTATTTATATGACCAACATATATATATATATATATATATATATATATATATATATATATAAAGGTTTGTTTTTTCAGGAAATGAAGAACCAGATGAAGAAAGTCGAAACTTGAACTTCCCTGCTGCTTAAGCTTTTCCATTAATAATCTGCGGGTGTCACTTTCCCGACCACCTGATCATCATCACATGCTATCAATTTCGATATTCTTGCAGCCAAACTCTGCTTTGCTGCAGGGGAAACACCATGCTTGCCTATGATTGTCTCCAACACTGTTTCCGACAATTGTTTGTTCTCTATCACCGCATTCCCTTCTTCAGGTAAGGAACCATCTTTGGAGAAGGCAATCTGTATATAATATTTACGCAAAGAGAAGCCATAAAAGAAATATATATCAAAGTTATATTCTAGATTTTAAGCAAAAGAGAGAAGCTTAAGCTATTTATAAAGTTGAGTACTAGAACAAAAACTACTGAAATTACATGTAACTCCTTTCTGCTACCAATCACACAGTGTTGCTTCATTTCATGACGATTTGATTTTTTTTTTTTTTAGCATTTAATTCTAACAACAAGCATAGACGAAATGTCATGTACTAAAAGCAAAAACAAAGAAATACGCAGCCTACTTAATTTGTATCTCTCAAAAACAGTTTTCTAGAAATTTATCTGGAAACAATTTTCTGTTTACAAACCAAGCATACCCATGTTATCTATTTTCTTGGTAGATGCTACTCCTCAAAAAAGAGGACGGAATACACATTCATCATTACTAGATCTTATCAATTGCATTTTTGTAAAAATTATTTAATAAAATCTATCATTTAACAAAAGAGAAATAATCAAAGGGTGAAGTCAAATAAGTGAGGGAATTTTTTTCTACTTATAGTCAATGAGCCAAGCGGGGATTGAGTGGAAAGAACAGAGGCACCAGGTGGGAAGTTTTCATCCTTAAAAACCTCGAGCAACTTTTCAGTGGCTTCGCTCTCTGCATCAGTGTAGGTTCCAACTGATTTCCAATACGCGACACAATTTTCAGCCACCTTCTCCG